TATTTTTAAAGAAACGTGAATACAACGGGTTTTTATTATATTGATAGATAAAGTGAAATTGAGAAAATTTTTATATTATTTCTAAATAATTTTCAATCACATTTTTATTATAGATTTAAACTTTTATGGTATTAATTTATTTTTATTTATATTTGATACAAAAAAAAATTACTCAAAATAGTAATAAATAAGGTTTAAAAAGAAAAAATATTGTAAATAAATGCAATATTAAACGTCTGTTGTAGAATTGCGCCAAAGTATATCCATTTTTTTTTACAATATTACAGCAAATAAATTACGACAAAAGTTGTCAAAACTAGAAACGCAAGGAGCCGAATTTTTTTTCCCCAGCTCAGTACAAGTTGAAAAATAATTATGCATTTTTGCTTAATGATTAAGATTTTCGTTGTACAAAACCAGTTATATTATACCAGTATTGATATTTGCAGTTAACCAGTATTGATATTTGTGGTAATTAATAATTTTTGGTTTTTCCAGGTTGCAAATATGTGAAAAATTTTGGAATTTACAAATATTTCCTCCAATATTCCTTAATATGTTGTTACGTTTGTCAAGATTTTCTGTTTTCTTTCATACTGTTAAAAATGGAGATGTAACATCTAATATTGCCTTTGTGTTATGACATACAGCTTATTATAGTCCAGACAAATAAGCTGAATTTTGTAATATAATCACAATATTGAATTTTTAAATGTCATCGAAATCACAACTACATACTATAATGTAGTTGTGATTTTTTAATACTATTAAAATTAAAATAGTCTCACACTTTTAAGAATTCTGTTTTCTTCCCTATCAATATTATTTGTGACAGAAATAAATTTCTTTGTTTCAAATAAAATGTTTACGATTAAAAATATTATTTTTAATAAAAATTAAATAATATAATACAATTTTCAATATAATAATAACCTTGATTATTTATAGGTAATTTTGATTAGATTAGAAAAAATATATATATATATATATATTTTGTTATTTACATTTTATGCTAATAACATTATAATGTTTAAATTCAATAGATCATATCCACTATATGTAGCTCTCATTATTATTTTGTATTTTATATTATTAACACTAATTTCATGGTATTTATAATTTTTTTTTTACCCCGTATAATTAAGATTAGGTAAACATTTTTTTTTTGTTATATTGTTAATTTATACGAGAAAAAGTTAAGGTCATTATGTTAATTTTCAAGAAAAAAAAACATGGTGCGTAAAAGATGCTTGTTCATTTTAATTCTGGTCACCGCATTTTATTCCTTATGTACATTAGGTATTGCTTGTATATAAAGGGCTTGATTACAATTTTGTGGTCTGAAAAGTTTTTTATTTAAAGTAAAAATTGTTATAATCATAAAGGAAAATAAAATAACAATTATTTTTTTATTTAGTAATACTTAAAGTTATTACTTTCCTTAATATAATTATTTGATTTAATAAAACAAACAAATAAATAAAGAAATAAAACGGTGTTACCATCTTGTTATTTTCCACAATAGCGTGATCGATTCATGAGAGCTGCCATGTACATTAATCACTATACTGAAAAGGTATTTATGGTATTTTGAATTATTTTTTTTTACTCAAACGGTATTTAACGATAACAATAAGAAAAAAAAAAAGGCGACATCTATAGGTCAGTAAATTAAGATTAGTTTAAAATTTTCAATTAAAATTACTTTCGTTCTATTTAATTAGTTAATTAGTTATGAGTAAATTGTAAATTTTATTATATTGCAAATTCTGTTATATTATTACAGAAAATTAATATTATACTATTATAAAACTAACCTGTAACATTCAATATTGAAGATTTCAATTATAGACATTTATTTTCTATTCAAAAATGTAAAACCAGATAAAAACCAGATCAGAAACCATATATTTGAAATACTATATATTTGAAAAGGCGGGCGGGATTAGTTGGCGGTTAGTGTTGTACACTTGGACTGTTTAATATTTAACGTTTAATTGTTGAATACTTTAATTGTACTTTTCATTTTATACTCTTAACAGATATTAAATAAACTATAAACGAAATTTTTATAAGAATTTTAGTTGAACTATATTGAGCTAGTTTACCAACATCTCTGTTACGGTAATTCTAGTATTAATTGAAATTTCAATAGAAATAATTTTAAATTTGTTGAAAATATTTATATACGCACGTGTAATATTTCGTAACTGTTATAACGTATATAGACCTATGCCAAGATATTCTTTGTTAGACCTAGTGCACGAATTATCGAACTAGGTCATCAATATGCAAATCTTGTTTTTTTTTTCTTCTATTTTTTTTACTTTTCATATATTTTCTTTGAATTTTCTTAATTTTAGTCACGATATGAAATCCTTCAATTTTTGTTTTTTTTTTTGTTTTTTTTTATTATTATAATTAATATTTAAAATACAAAAAAAAATATAATATTAAGAAATAAAAATAAAATATAAAAACAAAAAACCCATAATAATATTATAATAATTATTTATAATATTATATGGACCAGGTAAATACAAAAGGTAGGCTTGAATACATAATATAGGGTAGAAGGTATTTATAGGCTGGTTGAATAGTTGCGCAATTAGCACAAAATATAATACAAAATATTGTTTTTATTTTGCTTGTTCATTATTTTTTTTTTAATTTTTTCTATTTTTTAATAGTTCTAATAATAAAGGAAAAAGAATACAATTGCGACTTAAAAAAATATATATATATAATATGTATATATATATAAATTTTTAATTAATTAATATTTTCTTTAAATTTTGGCCGCTAGAGGTTATACGGGCCCTTATATACAAATAATATGTAATCAACTTTGATAGTGTCTTAAATTTATATTAAGTGCTCAAAATTTCATGGAACACACATAAATCATTAAGCATTACCCTTTAATACTTAATTTATAATTGATGTTAAGTAAAGAGAGTCCCAAATCATAAACGTCATTCATAACTGCGATACAATTAAAATTACAAATAACATTTTTGAAGAGGTTTCCGGTTTTTGTAAACAAACACATTTTAAAACTAATCTTTTTTTAAGAAATAGGTATATACTTTCGAAAGCAGGTAGTGAATATGAAAAATACTTTTTCAAAAATTGTTTGTGACTTTTTTTTAAAATCAGAAATAGCTATGAGCTAAAATTTACTTTTAGACGAATTTCGAATAGATTGCATATGCTACGGGGTTCTCTTTTTTTGTTAAAGAGCAAAGAGAAGGAAAAATTATAATCCATACTATCTTTTTACACTATTAGATGGCGCTAGTGTTTGATTACCAAAATAAAAAAAAACATTTTTTTTAAGTAACGCGAGAAAATGAATTAAAATTATTGTTTCTAAAAAATTTTTATATTTTCCTATAATTTAAGGAAAAAAAAAAAAAAATAAATAAAAATAATATAAAAAAATGCGTGCCTAATGTGCATAATATTTAAAAAAATATTTTTCACCAACTTATAGAGCTATAATAGATTGCATGCAAACGTCTGAATATTAAAACTACGATACAAAAACGTTATTAAAAGAAATGCAATTTTAGAGACAAATTAAAAAAAATAAATAAATAAAAGGAAGAAGTATAAAAAAAAAATTTTTTTTAAAGTATACAATTACATTTATTTCTTAAATAGCGAAAAAGAAAATTAATAAAAAACCAAAAATCTTAAATGTTTTCAAATATCCTTGTTTTTCCTTAAAAATATTGACGTGTTTTGAATCGATCACGGAATGCATGTTCCAAATGCATTTAATATGAAGTCGATAGAAACAAAAATTTTATATTTTAGAATTTTACATATAATTTTTTTTTCCTAAAAATTTCTTTTCTCTTGTTTTTAAAATTGTTGATACAGTCGAACACAGACTTAAATATGAATTGCAAAAACTATATTGCAAAGTTGGTTTCACATGGAGCAGAAATTTGTAAAATTTAAACATGTTTTACTTATTTAATTAAATTTATTTTAAAATTTTTTGATTTTATGGGATTTTAATAAAATAAATATTAAAATAATTGAGAAAAAAAACTGAATCAAAAGTAAAGTTTTTGTTGTTAGTTGAAAATTATTGTCAATTTAGTTGAAATACTAATTTGAAAATCAAAAATTTTTGCGCTTGTTCTCCGTTCAAATATTCTTGGGGACAAATTGAATTAAAAAGTTGATTGGTCTTGATCAGACTAGTAATTAGAATGTCAATATCTTGAAATGCCAGTCAAAATTACTTGACTGAACAAAATTGCGATTGATTTAGATAATTGACATTATACTTATGATTTATTGTCATAACAGTGCGGTAATCATAAAAAATTAATTTTTTATATAAATAATTTTATATCATACTATATTAATTTGGAAATTTTTATCCAAATTTAAGATTTGATCAAATTTTTTAATTAAAAATATAAAATTATTTATAAGTTTACAAATTCAAACAATGCTGTGAAATGAAACCTATATACAGAAAGTGTATGTTACGATAGTGAATTTTTATTGCTATGATTTCAATTATCACATTTTTTTTTACAATTTGGGAGTGTTAATGATTCGGGCTTGTGTCGCAATTTACAATTATATTAGCGCTGTAAAAATAATATATTGCCATATAAAAATTCAGAAAACTCATTCGAAATCAATTCATAACTCATCAATTGCCAGCGAATTAGAATCAATTTTCTTAATAAAATACTGATGATACTAATGATAATGACATTGATGATAATTCAAGCTATCAATCTCAACCTCATGTCAGTGTCAAAATTTATTTTATAAAATTTAACTAACTTGTTGTCAAACGTATTTTGATAATTTCGAGTTTTATTTCAAAAAAAATTTTTATTTTTCTTAAAAGATTTTAATGATCTATCTTATGTATGTTGTGTCATTCTGAATTTGACATTTTGACATCAAATTGATATTTACATTATTAGGGCTATTTTAATTGTTTTCTTTTTTTATAATCTCACCTTATTGCAACAGCTGATCTCATGCTATCTGATTTCATGAATTATAAATTAGAAGAATATTTTTTATCCTTTGAAATTTTAATTCATTATTAATTTTTTTCACATTTTTTCTTGTCATATTAAACTTTTCCTATATATATATATGTATATATAAAATTAAAATAATAAATTATGTACTTTAAATTTAAAAAATTATTTTTTTTTTAATTTTTTTTTATAATTTTTTTAATTTTTTTAATATTAAGAATTTATTTGAATTTTTCAATTCTATTTTTTTTTGCTTTGAATTTAATTTTGATATTTTTGGAAATTTATATTTTTGTATATTTTTTGTGTGTCTGAATTTTATTTTGACATCTTTCAATTTCATTTTTATCACAATAAACTTAAAGGCACTAGAAAAGACATTTTGACTTTTTTTTCAGAATTTGTGTAATTTTTTTTTTTAATTTTTTGTAAAATATTTTTATAATTTTATTTTTTTATTTCTTGAATAAATTTACGGGGGGGAAAAAAGTGGGAAATTATCCAATAATCCTTTTTGAAGTAATTATAATTTTTATTTTTTTTCTTTCCGAATTTTTATAAATTTTTTATTAAATAATTTGTTATCAAAGTTTTAAGAGAAATTGGCATTAATTAAAAAATTACTTTTAAATATTTCTATTTTTTTTTATTTTTAAAATGTTTATGCAATAATTTATTATATTCTCTCTCTTTCTCTCTCTCTTTCACTCTCACTTTCTCATTCTCTCTTCATAACAATTAATTTTTTTTTCATTTTTTTTGTATTTTCTATTTTCATTTATAATGCATAATTACCGCTATTTTGAAAAAATGATTTCTTTTCCGAACGAAAAACTAACAGTAACTAAGCAAAAAAATGTAATCCGTTATGATCTGAAATTTTTTCATTTTTCTTTTGTTTTGAATTTTTGTTTTTGTTTTCTCTTTTTTGCTTTTGTTATTATTTAATATACAAAATAATGTTATTTGCTCGGCTTTATACGAATATAACTGAACTTTATTGTACACGAAAGTGGAAAAAACTGAAAAAAAAAAATATAATTATTTTTTCTTAAAAAATCATGAAAGAAAAAATGAAAATAATAAAATTAAAAGGAAAATAGATGAAAGTGTATAGAAAGCATTGCCGATATACAAAGTCTGAAGGCCAAATAGTTTTTGATTATTTTTCAAAACTAAAAGAAAAAAATAAAAAAATGAATAGGGAAGAAAATGAAAAAAATTAATATTAAACATTTTACCGTTATATGTGGAAAATTAAAAAATTATTTGCAACACAACGGCAACACTAAAACGTATTTCTATACTTCGGTTTCTTCTTTCTTTTTCCGTTTGTGTGTTTTATGTTTTTTGAATAAAGGAATTTTTTTTTGCAACAAACAAAGAGAAAACACGCAATGAAAATATAAAATACTTGTTGTACATTAGTCTTTCATATTCTGGTAGCACCATGGTCTTCATTATCTAATACTTAATTTTAGAAAAAAAAAAATAAACATTATTATGGGCGAGAGAAATAAATATCATGCGGATACCTGTAAATTCCATTGTAATTTCTGAAATATGTCTCTTATATCAATGTGCATTTATGGCCCTTTATCTTAATGCACTAGAATTTGTAATAAAAACATGTTCTATTTTGATTCTATTTTAAATAACGGTTAATGTTTAATCTTAACTGTATTCTCAGCTTTTTTTTTAAATTCCATAGGTTCTCCTACTTACTATATATATAGCCTTTTTCATAATTTTTTCTACTACATGTTTGTAATAATATGAGACCATATTTTTAACAGTTTTTCATAGATTTTTCAGCATTCCATTACCTTGATTTGACATCCTAATTTCTGAAATAATATGTTACAGCAAAATTCAACAGTTCCGAATTCGAATATGCGATTTTTTTTGAATTTATTGAATTTTGGAGCAGCGTTTACCCATTAAATACATTGTTCATGCATTCTGTTTGATATATTATGATACAAATTTGATGATAGTTTGATGGCATGAAAAATTTCCATGCAATTTGATAAATCGAAAAGCAATGGACAGTTTACATGAATAAAATGCTATTCAATTCTCGTCAAACAAAATCCATGAACAATGTTTGATTTAAAAATTGATTTTTTGCAATGAAAACAATATAAGTTTCGAGGGCTCAATAGAACAGTAAAATTTACAGAATACATGCTTTGGTTGTTGCTTTTACTAATATTATAATGTGATATACGTAGATACCAGTTATACCTTATAACAGTTATACCGTTATGAATACCTTAAAATATTTTCGAATTCAAAAAATTGTAATCAAACTCAGAAAATCAAATTTTCTTTTTTAAAAAATTTATTTTAAATAAAAAATATTTTATTAAATATATGTGAACGCTTTTATAAAAGCGGATTAAGATAAGACTCATCTGAAACCGATTTTGACCTGCAAAGACAAAAAAAAAGAAAATATGTATTAAAATTATGTATTATAATATGTATTAAAAAATTATAACTAGTACTACTATGGTTTATGTTAAGGGTTTGGGTAAGGGTGCATCTGAATTTGTTAATTAATTTCAGTTAGCATAGTCAATATAACAAACAGCAAGCAAATACTAAAATTGTGTACTAAGGTTAAAGTAGAGGGAAAAATATCAGTAAATAGTTAATTCTGATCTTCTTATACTATAGGATGATACGTTCTATCATACGTTTGGAATTTATTTTGTTACGTGATGACCCTTAATATTTATTTAAGAGTGAACCATTTTGTACCTTTTCTCATTATTTGATTCTTCTAAATTTTCAATTTGAATTTCATCCGATAATTTTAATAGGATTTCGTCCAAATTTTGTATAATATCTGAAAAAGTAGGTCTTTGACTTGGAACTGCATTCCAACAAGATAGCATGAGATCATACCTAAAAGAATATATTTTAAAATTAGTATAATTAATTAAAAATTGTTATAAAATTTTAAATAACGTCTTATTGTTATACTTACAATGATTGACCACAATTTTTTGGTTTCTCCATTCGATAACCATTCTTTAATAATTGTAATAATTTTGTAGTTGGTATTGAAGGATATGGTGTACCACCAAGTGTTGCAATTTCATATAAAAGAATACCATAAGACCATCTGAAATCAAAAAACAAAAAAAAAATTAATAAATTTTTTTATTCCGAATTAATATTGAAAACTGAACTTGGTTTCAGTATTAACTTAATTTGGTTTTTGTATATGCTAACAATTATTTCGTGTATAACAAAGAGAGCTTTTCTAATTCAATAAAAATTAAGGCATTTTATAATTTGGTCTGGTCTAGCGTGTTGTGTTACCATAAGTTTAAAGAAAACTTTCAAGAAAACGGACTTGCGTACTTAAAATATTTTCGAAAAGTTTTCGAATTGAAATATACAAGAAGATAAAACTGTTATATGAAAAATATATTTGCGTGTATTAAAGGTAACGGATAAATCAATAAATTTTGTAAGAAATATTGTAATATTTATTCTATGCTCCACAGGTGGTTTTTTTCCGGAATTCCAAAAAAAAAAAAAAAAGGAACCAATTTTAAGAATAACAGTAAAATTTCATTAACAAACCTCAAGCTTTTCAACTCTCCTCGAAAATTGTTATACAACATAATAAATATTATGTATATAATGAAATTTTATATACTAGCGCCCTAATTCAATGCAATGTATACGATTTCATTTGAAAATTATTTTGGGGTTCAGTTCATATCGTATTTATTCTTTTATAAAAAATTTAATGTATTAGAAGAATTCGGAAGAATTTATGTGGCTTTTGTATAATATTTTAGAATGTATATATGTATGTACTATGTACATAAAGGATACGGATGAGAGAAAGTGAATTAGTGTGTTTTCTCTTATCATTCACGGATGGTTGGAATTAAATAATATTCATATATAATGTAGAATTTATATATATATATAGAACTAAGAGTTATACAAAGAATTCATATTGTAAAATCATAAATTTCAAGGTCATTTGTTACATACATAATGACATGTGTGGTATGTATGTATTTATACAAGTGTATTTTATGGGTGTACGTGAACATTAAGTACATATGCCCTTGTTATAATATTTTTGCAGACAGAAGTGGGTCAATTTTTTTTTCTGTTTCGTTTCGTTTTGTTCTGTTTTTAGAGCAGATAAGGATTATATAAAAAAAAAAATTAGGTTCTTTGCCTCTTCCTTACACATCATTTAATAAATTTTATGATATTTTTCTCTTTGTTTTTCGTTTTCTTTTGTTTTTCGTGTTGCTCTGAGATTTTTAAAACGAAAACGATTAATTGTTGTGTATGAAAAAAAGTGCCTGAAAGAAAAAAAGAGATGAAAAATCAAAAATGCGGTTAAGAGATTTCAAACACATTAAACACAAAGTGTCATTCCATGTGAGACAGAATTGTTTTTGTGTTTCAGACTTAGTAAGAAAGTATATGCGGTACAAGTAATTAAGAAATCATTTATTTTAACGAATAAAAAATATAATGGGAAAGAAAATTAATTTATTTTATGTATAAGCATGCCTACTGTTGGTATCTCTACTCCCTAACCCACCGGAGATTATGTTATAAGTGAAACAAAAATCAGTAAATGGAATTTTTTTTCCTGGTCTGAATACCTTCAGAAATTCTTTTTAATTAAAAATTTTCTTTATTATATTTTTTTTTTTCTTAGTTTTTCAGTGTGCGTTCAAATTTATGGTGGTGTAGTCTGATTGCTACATTTACAAATGATTGACAGGAGTAAATGAAAGTATTATTTTTTTTTATAATTTTTAAACTGTTCAATTCTATTTTGAATCAAAGTCTTTCCATTTAAAAAATTTGATTGAAATTATTAATTAATTTTTTATGTCTTGTTTATACAAAATATTTTTGATTTGTTTCAATATAATTTAAGAAAAAAGGAACAAGGAAATTTTAAGAATTGTTAAATTTATTTTACAATTGACTAATTTATTAAATTTGCCCCTAATTTTTTGACATTAATCATCTGTAACAAAACTTAAGGGGTAAAATCATGTTCTAGCCTTATAAAATTTAATTACGCAACATTTTACATCTCTCTACATTTAAAGTAGAATTTTATTGATTTTTGTTGATCAAGGTTTTTTTTTATTAGCAATTTTTAAAATTTTATGTTTTTGGTAAAATAAGGAAATTAAGATTAAATTTTGTGTTTATATACGGGAAGTTTACAATAATTAAGGATGAAAAAAAGGAAAATTGATTTCGAGAAATTAATAAATGAGAAAGTGAGTTTTCATTTTTGACATAAGCATAAAATTTTACCCCTTAATCGAATTGCTTATTAGACTCCTGAGTCATGTACACATAGTTAATAAAATTATAAACGAAATTTAATCCACTTTTTATTCTCATCTTGAAATAAAATCACTATTCTCAATTTAGCACTAATCTAAAAATGCCATGATTTAGCTTTAATTTAAAATTTCTTGCGAGGTTTTAGTCACTTATTTTCTTTATAAAGATTATTTACATCTACTATTGTTTGACATTCAAAAGTGACATTTTCTAGAAAGATTATTTTTTTCTTTCTTAAAATTTTCTTCTATTTACGCATTCATCTTCTTTATCTTGAATTTAATTGAGAATTTTAACAAAATGGCGTGTAAAAATTCCTCTTTTTTTCTACTTAGAAGAATTAATCACTAGGACGATGTAAAAATAACACAAAAATATTTTATATATAATATTAAGCAAAAAGATTTACAGTTAATTCTGTCTGACCATTCTTAATGGGTTTAATAATGACGTACTCATCACAAACGCATTATTTTTTTTTTGTTTTCATTATACGAATTTAAAAAAAAATTTCTAAAACCTTGAAGGTCACATTTTATGTACTTTTGTTAACCAAGGTCTTTTTTGATTTTTCAGATTTAAACATAAGGGTTTCATAAAATAAAATCAAAATAAGAAAAATCAAATTTATGACTGTAATTTTTCCATTTCAAAGTACATTATTATTATAATCATGATCTGCCCATATTAGGTTGGTTCACAGAGCGCGTTTATGAAATTGGAGGATGGAGAAAATTTTGTGGAATTTAATCTATAATATAATGAAATAAGAAAATATTATTATTTTTATTTAAAAAAACATTTTTGATTTTGAAATTTAAAAATGCGTGTAAAATTTTTTTTGTGATTTTTCATATGTAGTTTTGGAAACGGCTCTCTTGATAATCGCAAGCGCAATCACGTTTTTTGGCGTTATTTGGCTTTTAAAAGAGCAAATGGACATAAGAACATAAGAGCAAATGGACAAGCAATGAAAATATGAAAGCAGTATTGCAGTAATGATAAAAGGGATAGGTTGATGTTGACAACTGACCTTAATATTTTGTTGTAACGTTAACGTGTCAAGATTAACTATACTGTATACATCATGTTGTATTTATCTAACTAATATGAGGTGAGGAGTTTTCTGTGCAGAGACTACTAGGAAGCAGACAACACTGTGATTTATACTTTTCCTGAGATGGGCATAGAGAATATGGAAGAAGCTTCGGAAACCTTCCGTTTTGTAGGCTTCAGTATAAAGAAAAATACCAAGATTAACGTGGGAATAGAATAAGGAAAACTAAAATATGATAACACGATATGGCCGAAGTACGATTTGGTACCTGGAAAAGGGTAAAACAATCTATAGTAAAATAATCAAAGAGAAGTAAACAGAAAAACAAATTTTATTAAGTAAAATAATGAAGCACGATTAAATCTGAAGTATTACGAGAAATGATCTTGGACTTTACACAACTATCACAATTCGACATATCGAATCAAGACGACTAAAAAAAAATATGCAATATATAAGAAAATTTCTAATCTTTATCTCGTAGTTCAACTTGTTATCATTAACATTCTCTGTGAATCTTAATGTCAGTGGTTCATTCTCTCTTCTTTATAACTTTTATTTAATTCTCATTAAAAACTTCATAAAATTTCATTTGAAATAAAGTTCTAAGAAATGTTCTTCTTTACAAAATATTTTCGAGTACTTCAAATAAACTGGTAATACAAACTTCTACTCCTTTTTTGAAGGTCAAATTCGATCAAGGATAAAAAATTTAAATTTTAAATTTTCTTAAATTTTGAGTACAACTTTAATCTTTTAATTTTATTTATTTTTTCTTTTTTGCGTATAAGTTGAATTTATAAAAATTTATATCCACTTAATTATCGACCGCATGGAATACAATAAGGGAAGTTTGTGATGGGATCAATTTTTGTATGTCGAATTTTTGAATGTTGGCGAAAACGCATTTCTCTATTATGGGAAACTACAAAAATTTATTTGTACCGACATGATTGTCGGTCTGTTTGTGTATGCACTAGTGTGTTTCATTTGAAGCCGAATTGATTTTCGTGAAAATTTTCATAAATTTGCGTTTGCTTTGCTTATGTTATGGATTGATCAACTTTAGGAATATGTCAGAATTATTAATATATTTATTATGACAATATGAAGGAACTTCCACGATGTAGTGATGTTACATATTATAAACTAATTGACAGATTTTGTTTTTAAATTTAATATTTTAGGTTTCGTTTACTACTGGAATTAACTGAAGAATTTGTCATTATTCGGATATTCGGCGAGCAACACAATGTGAGTCTCTTCTGTAAGATTAAAATTTTCATTTTCCTGGATATTTTAACCATAAACTTTGTATAACGCTTTCGCTAAACCAAAAAATACCCTTTACGTTCGGTTTTTGGCTGACCACATCCACATTAGACTTTTTTGTTTTTTCAATCGATTATAAAAAATATTTTCGTATAAAATTCAAGGACATTTTCTATAATCTAAAAAATTAAAAATTTTTTTTTTTTATTTTAATAAATCCTTGGACCTATTTATATACTGATCAATTCAAATTCATTTATATAACAATATTATTGAATGTATTGAACTGAATTTTTGTTATACACTCTATAAATTGCAAATACCCAAAAAATCATTCCTTATTTCTTATTAAATCTCGGTTAAAAAAAATTTATTTCGATTACAATATAAAAAAGCGGAAAAATTATTTGGTTGGAATCCTGTTAACAACGAATAATGGTCCTAAATCAACTAGAATATTTTCTTGTTTGATGACAATGGTCTTGTTAATAATAAAAATAATAAATATATTTAGGATGTCCGCAAAAATATAAAAAAAAAATTTTTATCCAAATATTTTATGCCATCTTTAATTTTCATTACTTTTGTTTTTTTCTTCACTGTTAATCTTTATGGTGCTGTACAATATGTACGATTATATTTGTATAATACCTAAATATTGTTATATACAAACTGTTATACATTTATGTAGATAAATTGTTATAATTTTCATTTGAAATTTTCATTTTGTCTTTGTTTTTTGGGTCAAAATGTTGTCAACTATAATAAATGTCCGAAAATAAATTAGAAATATAATTCTTAATGAAAAAATATGATGAACAATTATTAAATAACCATGGATGGATATGAGTTTATGTACATATTAAGTATATATGTAAGTATAACAGTTAACCAGCTAATAAAGCTAAGTTGTGGAATGAAAATTTTCTAGTTTTATGTTATTTAATTTTGATTTTAAGGATTATTAAGCATTTTCATAAATTTTCTAGGAATAAATTGTATTTGGGTCCATTTTATTTATACATACAGATAGATATACAAAGTATAAAATGAAAATTTTCATATTCATCCCAAAGGATATTTTTGAATTTTAATTGAAAAGAATAAATAGTTTAAATATACCCAAATGAATTTATATTTGAATAAAGGAAAATATTTTGTAAAAAGAAAGTTTTTAATTTATATATATGTATGTACGTATGTATTATTGTAATTGTATACAAAGCAAATAATTAAGGACTTTAAGTTATAAAGTACTTAAAAGTAACTCAATAGAGTTTTATTCTAAATAATATTATAATTTATTGCTTTACAAAAAAATTGAAAACTTAAAATGTTCTCTTAATTAATTGGTTAACTTTAATTTGCTTTCCATTTTAAATATTCAAGATTAAATGCATACAGAACAACTACAGTATTTTATAATCAAAATTAAAATTTGAAGATGCTTCGAAATGTTTGCCTGTATTAGGTAAAAGCAGTTTTCATGAAATAAAGAGGTTCAAAACAGAAATTGGTATGATATAATCCGATCGAAATTGAAAAAAAAATGAAAATGCTTGTAAGATGGTGTTTCTGGAATAGGATTGAGGATGCTTCACATTTCATGGTTTCAAAAGTTCATGTTGGTTAATTTTAACATGATGAGTTCGTTAGTTCTGAAAAATCAATATTATTAATAGAAAATAAGTTTAGAGAAAAATTTTAAATATTGAGAAAATTTAAAAAACTTATGATAGGAAAAATTACTCTTAATATTTAAGACAAATTCAATTTCACTGTCGAACTACTTATGTCAATCCCAAGCGTTCTAAAGGCATCACATTTATACAATCATTGAGCCGCCATCTCATCCGCAAATTACATTTTCTAGTTAGCCTATTCAATTGAGGTCGATCACAGAGAGACAATGTGCAATAATTCCCTACTGATTACATGTGTCAATAATTTTAAATCTATATAGACCATCAAATAAAATAAATTTTTTCTAATGCAAATTGGAAGTCGTTATAAATTTCTTGGTGTATGCATTAGAATTTTTTCTTTAAGAAAGTAATTAATTTTCATTATCTTTTCAGGATATTTCCTAAAAAAAAATTTAACAAAAGTTTTATTATTTTACAAATTTACAATGAAATTAAAGTTTATGTTAAAAAGCAAAAATATTTCTATAAGTAACATTTATTGTCTGATGCTTTTTCGCCTTAGACTTCATAACATTGAATAGATAAGGAAAACATTTTCAAAAAGATATTAATAATTTTATATAGGTGTTGGTCGCTCTATTATTCAGATAAAATTTATATTTATACATACTATATAATTAATTTTACTATTCCCATACCGCAATTAAATATTGTTTTCCTTGTAATTTCATAGAAAAAATGTAGTATTTAGGTTTTTCAAGGTCTTTTTCCAATAAGTCAAAAGGATCCTCTTTTAGTGGAAAAAATTAAAAGATTTCACTAACAGATAATCATTTGAAATCCCTTAATCATTTAAAAAGCTTCTTATTAACTAGAATCATTCCAATATTGTATAGAAAAAATAAATCACCTTCTAATTACAATTCGTTTTTTGTTTTCTTGTATATTAAATTTGTTAAACGCATTTACGATTTTGTAAATAATTTTTAATGAAGTTTTATTAAAAGTTTTCCTAGAAAATTTTCATTTTAAAGAAAATTATACAATTTCAGATTTTTCTTATTATTTCGGTAAAAAAAAATATAAAATTAATTATAATAAATTGTTAAAGTAGAAATGCAGATTTTTTAAATAGGGCATTCCAAAATGTTGGAATTTGAATTGGACAAAAAAGTAGCTAAGAAAACAAATAAATAACCATAATGGTATATGACAATCGTCGTCAGCAACTTTTGTAGTATATAGGTCAAATATATACTATGTGAGTATAAACATGGGCCACCCCAGTTTCTTACATTATCCACTTACAAGAAGAAATGACATTTTCATAAGGCAACCGCTAACGAATGATGAGCCGCATTTTAAAGTTGAATGGGTCACATGCTACCAATGTGCCGCACTTTGTCGACGGTTGGTATATGAAAAAAGCTCGTTATTGAGGTGCCAGCTATTGGACATTTTCGGAAATTTACGAAATTTTAAAATAAAAGATTATTTTTAAAATAAAGCAAGGATAGCAATTCATACAGGTGAAACAGATAACTTGGCAAAGAAACGAGTCAATTATGCTCGAATACCGTTGATTTGAATACCGTTTTTCCGGCGGATGCCAACTGAACTACAAAGCTCTATCAGTAATTTGTTCTCAGCAACATTTATGTTTAAAATTTTTTTTGTTTTACTTATAAATTTTGGTGTTCCGCCGATTTTTACTGATTTTTAATTAGAAAATCTTTCTGATATTTCAATAATAAGTGACAGACATCAAACTGGTAAATTTTGTGCGGTTAACTTTTGAAAATATTCGATTACAACTCTAATAATAAGTAATTCGCCACAAAACAAGACAATTTCTGCATTTCCAAAAAAAAATTTCTTTCCCAAAAAGTATTCTTTCCAATATTCATCCTAAAATTAAAAAATATAATTTCATAGATTAAAGTGGAAGGAAGTTTAATATAACTTAAAAGTGAAAACTGATAGACCAATTTCATTTTATAATAATTTTTTTTTTAAATTATTTTGAAAGTTGCAAAAAAAAAATTATAATATAAGAAAATTTCAAAAGAATTTTTCATTTTTTTTTTTTGTAACACAATGTCATCTAAATAAGACACTTATAAATTTAATAAAACTGCCGGTCTTTTAGGACTTTTTTTTGTTTTGTTTTAAACTATCACTTCTTTTTTTTGTTACAGTTCGTTAAATTTTATAGCTTTGTTGAAGGACAAAAGTTAAATGTTTTTTTTGCAAATAAAAAAAGAAGATAAGCAAAGTAACTAGAGGGCGTAATTATCCCGAATCGGAAAGGAAATTTTGAATTAAAAGAGTTTATTTTTGAAGTTAAAGAGAACAAATAGAATTGTTCTTTATGTCTTGTGTTATTTGTATAACAGTACCAACGTCAATCACCATTTGTCAAAATTTGATCTACGTAAATAATGACAGTTTTCGATTAATCGAGTTTGTCAAATTAATTTTTACTTTTGTGCTTAAATATGTCATTGGGTTCAGGCCTCATTTATAGCCATAAAAACTCCAGACCAAATCTATAACGTTTCAATTTTAAACCCCATTTTAACGTTTCTAATGTTTTGGTCGAGAAAAATATGAAAAAAAGTTTTTTTTATAAAGAAATCTGAAGGATATTTTATTTTTTTTTTTTGTGTAAAAAGACACCAAATATCTTGTTTGAGAAAAAATTGTATAATTTAATTTGCTTTTATGAGATTGAGTTTTTAACCATGATAAAATGGAGTTTGACAAAAAACAAGAGAAAAATTGTAAATTGTACTTTCTTGGTAAAAAATTTTTTCCGCATTGTTTTGGGCAATACGCAATATTATTTTATATTACTGTTATAATAACTTCTTGAAATTCTATAAAATTATTTCACCTTATACTTAAAAATAATTTGAAAAATTTAAAATTCTATTGTTATATTAAACTTACACATCACTTTGCGTTGTATAAACTTGATGAGTCATAGATTCTATTGCTAACCATTTAATTGGTAATTTTCCATTTCCCGTTTTTTTATAAACATTTTCTTGATAAACATCTCGGCTTAAACTTTAAAATAAAAAAATTTGCAAAATTTAAAATTGATTGTCATTTTTTTTTAGAGAAATACTTACCCAAAATCTGCAATTTTAACTGTCCTATCTTTACACACTAAAACATTTCTTGCTGCAAGATCTCTATGAACAATTTTACATTTTGACAAATATTCCTGAAATTAAAAAACAAAAAATTAATGTCAATATTGTCAAAATATTTTTTTAAATTTATAATAAAAAGAAAAACTTTTTAATTTTTTTAAATATTTTATTTACAATTTTTCTTGATATCAGTTCTGTTAAATTTATCACTAGAAAGGGTTAGTAAAATTGAAACTAAATATTATTTGCGTCCCGTTTACGTATTTAAATTACTTATGATTATGGTAGTTTGCAAACGGAACAGTCGTATCCGGAAATATATCGATTCCATATATATTTTAGAGTTTTAAAAATATCGTGCATAAATCCTTTTTTTCGAATTCGGCAAACATATAAAAGTAGCAACTTGCGTCTTTTACTTTGAAATAGCATAGGAGGACGTTACAATGGCAAAATGATCGTTGACATTAACCGTCATTTACCATTTAACATTTATAAAGATATAAGACAGCTCCATCTGTAAGAAAGTAGAATACTACTAATATTAATTCAATGGAAATTTTTTCATACTACTTATAAACAGTAGTATGAAGAATGGATGTGCAATCAAAGGAACGAGTTCAAGGGAGAAAAATTAAAAAATTTTTCTTCTCGAACTGGACATGAACCAGAGACCTACCGCTTTTTAAGCGGACGCTCTACAAAACTGAGCTACAGAGATATGAACAAATTGACGACGAATTGTTCGTTACATTACCTTATACTGTAATACTTAATACTGCTCTTAATCCGAAGAACATACATGGAATTTAAATGCACCGCAGTAATACTGATAAATTTTAATTAAGAAACATATTATTTTTTTAAAAAATTCAAATATTTTTTACATAATAAATGTAAATAATATTCCAACATACATTTTTTACTGTTATACGTACATACATACAAAATTTTTATATTTATAATTTATAATTGAAATTTTGTAATAACGGATCTTATACATATTTATAACGCTTTATAAAAAATAAATAATGAGAAAAAGATTTAAACAAATATTAATAAATTCGTGTTTTTTTCTCTTGCTACAATTTACATTATTCTCTTGCTACAATTTGTAGAATGTATGGTACTACATAAGTAGAACATGTTAAAAATAAGCTTTAATCCTTTATTATCCTCTTCTTTGAGTTGAAAAAAAAAGTAATAATCATGACGTATTTTATAACAAAAAAAATTTAAATAAAATTTTATGCACTTGAATAACTTTAAACATATTGCTTTTTAAAATAATAATGTTGAATGAATTTTTATAAATTTTAAATTTTAAGAATTTTGTTCAAAAATATTGAGTACATGAAGTTCATTTTGAACAAATTGAAAGATGAACAAAGTGAAAGAGCTTATCATTTATGCCAGAGTGCAACTAATAAATAAATATAACACTTTTATTTGAAAGGTTATCCGGCTTTAAAAGACTTAAACAAGATAAAATTTTTGCAATACAATTACCGCTGCGAATTTGAACGCCGACGGTAAAATATCCTCAATTAACATTTTGTTAACATTTGATAATTTTTTTTGGGATTATACGTTTTCACGTGTGTGTGACATTGTATTAAAAATACTGTTCAATTGATTTTATCGTTCCGCTCTTGTTCTGGGCTAATTACGGAAATCTGTCAGCCGTTGCCGCTAACTGCTTTGGTTCTGTTTTCACAGTTAGCTTTCGAGTTCAGTAACAAGACAAGTCGAAGCAAAAATTAGAATTCAAGAAATCTGTATCTCTCTGTCTTAATTTTCGTTTAGACACCGTAATTTGAGGACCTTGATTAATTTTTAAACGAAAATTATTATGAACTATTGAAATTTTCACTAAGTTCAATCAAAATTGATTTTTTAAAGAATTTTATAATAAATGAAGTGGCTTTAATTTACACTGTTAATGTTTCCAAATTTTCAATCAATATTCTATCAAAAATATTATATACGATACTGTACCATGGATGTTATAACGAAGATATCTTTAAAATTAAATTTATAAATAAAAAAAAATGCAAAGAAACATAAAAAAAAATTTATAACATTATTGATGCGATTTTTTTTAAGCATCATATTTTGTACATTTAAGTTTTATATTTTAGTGAAAAATAAATTTGTTTAAAAAAGTTTTTTCCTTAAAGTTTATTTTCTGAAATATTTTCATCTTATAAAAAAGTTTTAAATTTTTTCTTTAAAACCATTGGGCAGATGTTCACAACTTTTATTTGCCTCCAATGAATTAGAATTAAAAATTAAGAAAATTTGCATATTAACCAGGCCTTTTTGTTTTGAAAGTTTTAGAGTTCTGTTTTCAAAAAATTTGTATCACAACCCAGAATAGAACAAAAAAAACAGAACTCAAGCGGTAAACGACAACGGCGGAAAGTTTCCGACAACAACAGCGGGACGACAATATCAACTGTTTAATATTTTGCATATGATTAATGTCACAAACTAGGCCTTTAGGCATTATACCACCGTCGGTTAAATTCGTGATGGTAATTTCGCTTTACAGTTCTATTTTTATATGAATATTCTATATGAATTTCGACATTTCGCTGCGGAAAATCGTTCTTGTTCTGTTTTCAACTTAAACAAACCATGTGAACCACTGGTTATATGTTGCTAATGCCTGGTAATGTACATACATAATATATACAATTGAATATCTTTGAAAATATTCCAAAAAAATAAAAGAAAACAACAAAAATATAAGCGTCTACTACATTAAGATTTTATGAATGTACGTTAAATTACTAACAAGCACGAAAAAGAGAACAACATTTTTCTTTACAAAAAAAAAAAAGAAAAAAAAAAACCTCAACTTTCTGACGTTAATATGAAAGAAGATGTACGATAAGTTTCAACAAAAATTTAACGCAAGTATATATATGTACATTAATATACACAAACATAAGTATATGTCCATATTTAAACAAGTGAAACGATAAAATTTTAAAAGTATTCCCAACAATATTTTGAAAAATACTCAGGAAAGAACTATTTTACCTTAATGCCCCCCCAACGGACAAAATAAGAAACAAAGAAAGAAATTAAAAAAAAAAACAATGTCATAAATGAACATTGAAATATAATGTCAAAAATTCATATTTTATAGGGTAATTTGTTGTTTTCTAGGATTTTAAAATTATAACTTCATCCAATATTAGTAGAATCCTAAAGTGTATTTAACATCCCTTAAGAAATTATAAAATTTTACAACAACGTTAATTTGACAAATAATATAAAAATTAATATTTGTATTAAATTTACTCTTTTTAGGAATAATGTAATTTGGTGAGATATTCACATCTCATCTCTTTATTTTGTTCACCTATCTTTCTAAAACTCTTTCACGTCTCTGTCAATCTTCCTCTCTTTTTTGATTTTATATAAACGACAGTGTCAAATTAAGTCCAGAGAATGGTAAGACGTATGACTAACATGAAATGGTAGGATTAACTTTAAACATTTTTTAAGATTTTTATATTTTATGTTTATCTTCTACAATATTAGACTATAAAATAATCTTAATAAATTCCGTAGAAATTAAAAAGAATATATTCTGTTATGTAATAATATATTATATAATAATGTTTTTCAGGAAAATGTTTACAATCTTATAATATATTTGAATTATAGTACGGTATGACATAAAAATTAATTGATTTTGTTTTTTTCATTTTTGTATTACACAAAATCTCAATTTTATATATCGATTAATTTATTTACAATAAGTATGTATATTTGTACATGAACATTATTTTTGATATCATTTTACTGTATAGTATATAACGGAAAAATCATTTACACAACAAAATAATTATCCTTTTAATCAAAGCCATATTAAATTTGTGTCATTGGAATTTAAGTATTAAATAGAAAAACAAAAAATGTGTAAGCTAAAAGAATTTGAAAAAAGTTTTCCTGTCTCTCTCCCTATCTCTCTCTCTCAACTCCCTGTTCCACTCTTTAATATTCATAATCCCATGAGCTTAACGAAGTAAGTAAACTAGATTTTTATTATTTTTTGTTTTTATATTTGTTTTGTTTTTTACTTTTTCATGTTCTTGTTATCTCATTTCTTTAAACACGTGCTAAACAAGTATATAGAGAATTAGAAAATAGAGAAAAAAAAAGAGAATAATGTTGTTTTCTAATTCTTCTTTCAGTTATCAAATAATACTTTATAAATTTTTTCAAGAAGTACAGTAAAATGGGGTATTGATGAGAGGTTATTAGTTTGAGTTTTAATCGCTTTTATGCTTGAATTGAATATTAAATCTATGGTAAAATGTTCTTCTACTTGAATTTGAATAAATTGTTTATATTATATGGCACCGTTTCGGTTTCATTTTTTTCAAAATTTTCGTGCATTGGTCACTTTGAAACGAAAGAATTTGAAATTTTTATGGCAAAAGCTTAATTTTAGTCACCTTTCGATTTATTCTCTTCTCTAGAATTATTTAAAATTGAACTTTATTAAATTATTGAAATTTTAGTTTACATATTTGAATTGAATCAAGAACTAGAATTAAGAATAATATTAATTATTCGAGTTCATAATCATTCGATGTAAGAGTAAAATCTACTCTATGACAGCCACTTTAATCACTATTTTAAAGTGATCATTACTTTATGGTATTTATTAAATAACATCATTAATAGACAATTTTCATTCGTACCTATAATTTTTTACTAATATTAATAGAATTCCTCAAATTTTTTGAATTATTGTAGCAAATTTTGCACGACAAAATCTTATAGAACAATTTAAAATTAAATTTCAATTTATATGAAAAATTTTCATTAATATTAATTAATAATTTCCAATTTAATAATAATTTCATAAACATTGAATTTCAGTATGAGTTATTTGGTAATTCTTCATAATTATTTATTTTGTAATTTTAATTTCAATATTATTATTTTTTTCTTTCACTCGAATATTTACACAACCCTTGATTGCTTCCTATCACTTTATAACGTCAAATGAAATTTGAGTTATTCTTGCGAAGAAAAAAAGAACCAA